CGTTTCTCCGCGTTTTGTCTTATTGTCTGTGTAGCGTTTGTGTATTGTAAGTATCGTAATATGTCAGTATTTCTTACGTACCAGGACGCGTCGGTGGCCGTGCGGAGGGCTATGTTTTCCACAGCCTGTAATGACTTTAAGTGGGTTTTTGCCGCGTGACCCCATGCAGTGGAGGCGTAGGTTAGCTGCGGTTGAAGTACCACCTTGATAAGCGCCGCGCGCCATTATTCTATGGCTAGAAATTGGCCTCAATGATTTGGGATCGAGGGGGATTATCCCTCTTTATCCTGCCTCATCTCGTGTAGGCCTGGACAGCCTTCGTAGGTGGGCCCCATCCGTCGTCTACCCCGACCGCAAATGCGNGAGGTTTTATCATTCAGTGAACATGTTCTTTCTTGAATTTTTCAGTTTCCTGCTAATAATTCTTCATATTTTGCTTCTCTTAAATATTGCACTTGAAAACAGTATCTACAAAGATGCTTGCATTAGTAAATAATTACATATATTACTTTGGAGTTTATTCCATCAGAAAAATATTGCAAATTATTGTAAATTATTATAAAACATAAACATATTTTTCTTTATCAAATATATTTAAGTGGATAATAAATTGTATGCATCAGATCAGTAATAATTATTAATACTCACCAAAATATTAACTATGTTAGTCTTCTCGTTAGGTCTTCCAACTTTATGGTATTCTTTCCAGCATTACTCTGTAAATATTTTTTAGAACAGCCTTGAATTGCAAGTTCATATAGCATATGTATCAATAACTGTCTGTCTTAGAGAATTTTTGTCTAGATTACAACTCGAGCCAACCTAAAAAAAAAATGTCCATTACTTTATGCGTTCTTATGTTAATTATTATATAATGTATTTTGTAGTACGTAAATGCATGAAACTAACAGTGTTGGTTGCTTTGAATCTAATGTAAATTATTTAAAATTACAATTTATTTCTAAAAAAGTTTATTATCATTTAGAAATAATCGCTTTGGTGCTTGCCCGAGTGCCTGCCATATATAATAAATGATATAAAACTTACCTTATAATTTGCATTCTTGCCATCACAGTAAAATAAATTTAAGTCAGATGATAGAAACTAATCGCTGTACTACTCCTGGAAAACTACTCCAGCTATGTGATGATAAACAATTTGTCTGGAACTAATTATTGTCTAATGAATTGTCAAGAACCAAAGGTCGGAAGCGAGGCTGGACATTGCACTGCTTACATTCCAATTCTACTTCACACCCTTGGGTAGCCGTGATACAAAACAGTGTACCATATTCCACTTCTTTTCTATTTTAATCTAATCGCTGATGAACGTGGTAATTATAAATATCTGTAAATAAGTTTCTTTAAATTATTGTTAAAACGAAGATTTTAATTTCATTACTATCACATTTGTTAAACATAGTTCCATTTAAGTTTTATTAAAATTATATTTTTGTATTCTCAAATGTTTGAACTAAATTAAAACAAATCACACTAAATGGATTGTCATTTCAATACCGTAATAGATTTTATTAACAAAAGATTAATATATTTTGTGTGAGAAGAAAATTACTGAAAGTTAATACAACGTATTTTTTACGTATATAAAATGGAAGTATAAATAGGTATTAATGTTTTTCTTCCTAATATGAAATATATAAACAAATGCATTTCTAAAAATGTCATTTATTATTTTCAAAAGTTGGATAATCTAGATAATAAACATAGGAATAATAATCAAAATTTAAATTTACAACTTACCCTAAAATTCACACCAAAACAAAACCGACATATTTCCGACAGATGACAGAAATTCTGGATCGCGCTGTTTCCGATTTACGAATATTTTGCGGCAAATTTGATAAGAACCAATGGTTAACTAAATAAATCTGTCAGGGTCCAATCGTCATCCAGCAGGCTGTCAGCCACCAATCATAAAAACCTATCAGGCCGGAAGTGATGTCACGTTGCTCATATCCCCATTCTAGTTTCACCCCCATGGTGAGGTGTGAGGTGGTGTGCAGAAGAAAAGTTCATTCATAACCTAGTATTTCGATTTGTTTTATAAAAAAATTAAAATGGAAAAAATGGACGAAAAAGTAGTTGATTTACTCAATATCATATTACTAGGGGAGCATTTAGATAACAAAATTTATGATACACAATGTTTAAAGTCACTAATCATTTTACTGGAGCTAAAAAGAAGACGAATTTCGGACAGAAAAACACAAGCGTTTTATTATCCTGTTCATAAAATTTATGAAAGAGAAAATGAAGATGTGCACCTACAATGTGAAGTTTTAAAAACAATTTTTTTAGTAATTAAAAATCCAGAAGAAGAAATATTACAACTTATTACATATCTAAATTCTCAACTTGACCAAGTAAACAATTTTTTAAATTTTAATATTGTAACAAAGATAGCTCTGTTGTTAAATGAACTTATTTTAATTTGTAAAATTCAAAAGAAGGAATATGTATTTCTAGAAAAGGCGTCTTTGCATCATGTCGATAGATTTCTATTTTATACTTTTCAGATACAAAATCCATCAAAAATATATATATTATCAACTGTTTTGCCAAATTACATCATTATACTTGGAGAATTACATCAATTAAATTTTTTATATAATTATTTTTTGCAATGTAAAGATAAAAACGATTTAGATGTTTTGTGCATTCTTTTCAACTATATAGATAAAGATATTTTATTAACAAATTCCAAATCAATATTATTCTTATATGATTTTTGGCAATATGTAGAAAATTGTATTTCATGTAATATTTATGATCAACAAAAACAAGCCATCTACCTTTTGAAAAAATGTGTTCAGGATTTTTGCAATTATGATGTTATAAAATGTGAAGTTCCTTATTTACAAATAACTGCAGTTCAAGATGAGACGCATAAGAAACTGTGGCAAAACTTTTTCATTCTTTTAGATGCTTCAAACGAAAAGCAATTACATCTTATTTGGCCCTCCTTGACTTTATTAGATTCATTAAAACATATTAATAATATATGGCAAATATGCATTTATAAAAAATTGTTAGCACATACTCAGAATGCAGTCGTATATTTTGTTGCATCACATATATTGTGCAACAAAATATTTTTCCCCACATTAAATAAATCTTTTCTCTCTGCTATTAATAAAAATGAGTATATGCAAAATTCTACTAATATATTTAAAGAATTGCCAAATTTTTGTAACAACTTAAAACGAGAAGATTTTCTTCTTTTTGTAGAAGATATATTAGACATAACTTGGATTCCAACAGCAGCATGGTATTTTTTTGCTAACACATTTACCGAATATCTCAAGAAAACTATCCCCTTTAATGTTTTTGAATCGATTTACAAGTTTTTAAAACAGTTACCACATATTTATATTAGAAATGGATGCATATTAATTTTATTAAATTATTTTATAAGAAATTATAATTGGAAAAGTGGGTTTGATGATATTTTAAAATTATTACTTATCTTAAAACATCACAATAACGATTTATTTATAAAAGCTGTTTCAAACCATGTCTATATTGATTCTTTAAATATTATTTTGCTTAGGATAGAAGATAGTGATTTAGATTTAAGGGAATTTGAAGTATTTATACAAATAATTGAAATCTTAAAATATGAATCTGGCATACAAACTATTTCTGAACATGTAAAAAAATTTAATAAAAAGTTTCAAGTGGTTATATATGCAAATTTTTTTGAAAAATTTGAAAGAAGCAATATAGCAAAATTTATTTTGAATGAAGTAACTGAAATGGAAGATGATTGTGTTGAGATGGCTATAGTCATTATTAAAAAATTACTAAAATATCCTGAATTTGTCGAATTAGTAAATTCGAAAATATTCTATCTTCTTAATAAATCGAAAGATTTTAAGAAATATGAATTATCTATAGCATTACATGTTATATTATTTTCGTATAAATCAAATGAATTTATGTTGAAGCAAGTCATAAATGATTTAAAATGTAGATTTTTTGAACATGGCAAAACAGACGATGATCTATGTGTCCTCGTTCTTGAATTATATTTTTTAACAGAAGAATATCCTGACGTAACTTTTTTGGAACATGTACTTTATAATCAAAGCGATATTGTTATTTCAAAAATGTTTGATTGTTTATCAACGATTAATATTCATAAAGACTCTACTAATATTATATATTTTCTCAAAGAAGCCTTAAATATTTTAATACATTTGACAAAAAGTAAACATTTTAAAATCATTATTTTCAATTATATTAATTGCATTTTTGCTATAAACTTTTTGCAAACTATGTATGAAAGTGAAATGTTCGAAGTAATAACGTTAGTGATAGATTTTTTATTATCATTATCTGAAACGTTCCCAATAATTGATTACTACATGTCTGAAAAAATTAAGAATTCTATTCTTTCTCCTGGATTTTACAGAGAATGTTCCTCTTTATTGATTCCTGCAGTTGAAGAGTTGCTTATGAGAGGAATTGTTATTAAGAAAGATGACAGGTAATTTTTTTTAATAAAAAAATCTATTTTTATCTAATAATTGTTTCAGGGTTGAATATTGCGTTTGTCAAGAAATTTATGAAAAATTGGGAAATGCAACAGAAAAGTGAGTATATTTCATTTTCATATTCTGAAGCACAACATTTAATGAATAAGAAAAATAAAAAAGTTTTGATAAGAATGTTGGTAGTTAAATATATTTATTTCAACTTTTTGTTTTTGTTTTCAATTATTGCCTTTGTTATACAATTTTATTCACAGACGTCATCAATTTTTAGCCCAAATTTGATTAAAATCTCTACTAGAATGTCATCACTGGAATCGATGCTGCAGATTATTTCTGAAAATATAGAATATGCAGATGGTTTCACATCACAATTAGTGATAAAGTATAGAACACATTTCAATAAGAGATATTTTCCGGATTCACATGTAAGAAGAATAACCTCTGATTTAATATAGGAAAATTACTTATTTAGTTTTTATATGATTCTGTTTTATATACCAGGTGATTTCACTTTAAATACAGAAACTGCAGGAGTAGATTAGTTGCCAAAAAATAAGTAGAGTTTGCTCTATAAACTTTTTTCCTAGGGGATGTGGTATTTGAGATACAGGGTGTTGAAGTTTTCAAAAAAAAAAATATCTTTTCGGTTATATCTTCATATTACACTGAATGATTTGAATGAAATTTATTACAGTGTATTCTGTAACGGTTCAATTAAATTTATGGAGGATTTTAATTAAAACTTAAGGACAGCTGGTATATATTCTGTTTAATAATGTTTATGGACCTAAACCATAGGCAACATTCATTACCTTTCTTTTCTGGCTACAAATCTAAGCTGTTTCATATATGAGACTCGCAAAAAAGGTAACGGCAGTTTTTGGAATGGGGAGATAGGTTTTTATGTTTTCGTACGGGCTATCGCTAAGGTGCGAGTGTAGAAAATTTCCTGCTATTTCTTAACGCTTGGGTTACCCAAAAAGGGGATTTTGTGTCAGGAAATTTAGTGAAAATTGTGTTCCTTTGATGCATTTTGGATAGTACGTATCTTGGAACCTTCTGGTGGAATACAATTGCAGCATTGGCTGGATCTTAGTGCACCTTGGCGATTGCAAAATCAGGCCGTAATATCTAATTTCCCTTATATGATTACTGGGATACTAAATAAGCCACTCTCCATCTCTGTAAGTAATTATTTTTTTCCATTATTCCTCATTTACCTTCTGGTGTATCGTGTTTTATAGGGCTTTTTACCATGGGCTGACATCCCTTAATTATCAGTAGAGAGACAAACTTCCATCCCTTGACATTCAACCTATGAAGCAGCCTCTCAACTGGTCTTACATCACTGCTACAAGGATCTATATTGTGTCATCGGGGTACGAGCTAGATCTTGGCGGAGTCTTCTACTGGGCGTGCTCATTGTGCGGGTGCATCTGCAACTACAGGGTCTCCAGATAAGCAAAACTTATTTCTTTATTTTTAAATTTATTCCTTTGGTTTCTTGCACCGAGGCAAGCAAGTAGAGGTAGATTTATATCTGACTCCTGTTAATTGCACCAATTAACAGCTGATCTATATATGTATATATATTTTTTTCCTTTAATAATTTTGTGTAATAATATAAAATACCCATATACGGTATGTGCATGTTCAGAACCATCTTTGTGCACTTTATCTGAACATTACTAAATTACAACTAGTCTTAAACCTACGGGGCAAATCATATACATAAACTTATCTGTTAGTTATTATTACTTTTTATTATTTTGTTATTCCAAATAAGATAATTCTATGAGCTAATACCCGCTGTCAGTAAACAAAAGTTGTACCTATGTATTTTCTTATCATTTTTAATTTGTAAAAAATTACTAAAACTTTCAGAGTTACCTACATATTCATACAAATGATCAGTAAATAGCTTATGGTTGTGTCCCCGATTAATGTTAAACTTTTCCTTTTCTTCTTTTATTGCTTAGTTATTTTTTTCTTCCCAGTCAGTTATATTAGGTAGTCCGGTTACTATTAGACATTTATATATATATTTTTTTTCTTACTAATATCGTTTATTCAATTTGTTTATAAAGAATTAGATAAGAATTAATGATAGATATAACAATTGTCCACCTATCGTGATCACGAGCGGTCTCCCAATTGAGATTTATTCTCAATTATTTATAATTATTTATTTAATAGGTATCGTCGACTTAGATATTTTAATTGTGATTTGAACGTAATAATGTTAATAAATATTAGTAACTGAACTATTTCGTACTATTAATTTAGTAAATTGATTAAAATATAACCGGATTAGGTGTTGCTACTAGTTGCTAAATAAGCTATTTTGGGTCGACATTATCTTTTAACTCAATATTTAGTATATTGAGTGGCTTAGAACCCTAGGGTAAATGGTTACTGGCGCCCTTAAACTAAACGGTCCTCTTAAAGATTGACCGCACGACTAGCTCCGGCTGACGGCTAGCTTAAGGTTTTGCACCTCCAACTTGGACCCTTTTTTTTCCTTTAAGATCAGGGTAAGTACATCAACCCTCAGCGAAATTAGAAGGTAGCAATTCATGTAATTAAACCTTTTATTGATGTAATATTAACTTCGCGCCATTAACCAGTGGTGTGCTACTGAATGTGTCGCTCTGTTTTCCCAAGAAAAATATACTGGCAATTTTTTGCAAGAAATAATATTAAATTCAAATACTGTTATGTTAAATGAATGAAAAATGGTATTTTTTAATAGTATCCGCCGTTTCTTCTTCTTCTTCCTCTTGTAGTGGTTGGTCCTGATAAGTCCCATAGCACTGCGGCCTAATTAGTCCTATTGTGTGTCCCACTACTAGTCCTATTCAGCAAGTAGATTTGTCCATTTTACAAAGTCCAAAAGCTTCCTTGCTGACACTTCTCTCAGTTCCTTGGGTTCCAAATAGGGTCTCCCAAGGAGCGCCATTCTGCTACGTGCAAATCCCGGGCACTCGCCCAGGATATGTAGAGAAGTTTCATCTGCCCATTCACATCCTCGGCAGACCGGACTGTCTACAAGCTTTAGCTTATGTAGATGTTTCCTAAAGTGACAGTGTCCCGTTATGAGTCCTGTCACTCTCCTGAGCCGGATTCTGTTCAAGCTCAGTAAATCATTCGCTCTTTCCTTCGAAGGGTACTCCATGAGCTCCTTAAAATGGCTATGTCCTGGCCTTGAAGTCCAGTATTTCCTGTGTTCTGTCTCAGTCCATTTGCCCAGAGCCCGCCTGACCACACTGGGAGATGTGCCACAGAAGGGCTCCGGGCCAATGAACTCTGTCTCGGATCCCTTCCTAGCAAGTTCATCCGCTTTCTCATTTCCACAAATGCCTTTGTGCCCTGGCACCCAACACAGTCTGACTGTATTGTTGGTGTCCAGTTCAGTCTGCATTTGTAAACAATCCCACACCAGTTTTGAACTTATCTTGTGTGCGCCTAAAGCTTTAATTGCAGCTTGACTATCAGAGAATATATATATGAGTTTACGTTTACAACCTCTATGTACATTCTCTGCCAGACACGCCATTATCGCGAAAATTTCTGCTTGGAATACGGTAGGGAACTCCTCCAGACTGTAGCTTGCACTCCATCTGGGTCCAAATGGCTTGTGGAAGTGAAACCATGGAACCATCTTGTCAGATACCATCCCAAAAGTTGGTTCCGACATAGATGTGTCTATGATCCTGGAATGGGAACTACCCCTCCAGTCGTTATTCCTGAGTCGATATGCTGCTAGCCGCACTTCTCTTTCCACCACTATATGCAGCGGTGATAGATTTAGCATGATTTCTAGTGCAGCTGTCGGGTTCGATGCCATCGCCCCCGTTATACATAAACAGGCCAATCTCTGAAGTTAGTTTTTTCCTCGCTGTGGTCTGTTGTGTTTTTTGCCACCATACCACAGCGCCGTAGAGAATCCTAGGTCTTACTAGCGATGTATATAATCAGTATGACATCTTTGGTTTCAGTCCCCAGGTGCTCCCAATAAGGCGACGGCATACACACAATGTCTGCTCCGTCGTTTAGGAAGTAATTTAATTATTTGGTGACCATAATGCGCAAATTTAGTCCATCTACTCGTATTTGTTTAAAATCCATCAGCAAAATTTTAATCTTTTGTCGGCATTTCCAGTTAGTAAGCTTTATGAAGATTTTGTTTTAATATTATAAGTAGCTTTGTTTATTTATTTCTGAAGCTGTAATTCTTATTGGGCTTTTTATAAAACTTTTTACCTAAATAAAAATCTGACGTCTACGTTCACTATACATCATTAACATGTTCGCAATTCATGTTTACTATTTACTATTGCTTAATTAGTACTAAGCGTATACATACAAATAACAATATCATATTGTTACTCAAACTTTACCTGCACTAGATTAATACTAAAATACTATAAACTTTTAATTCGATAACAGACTTAACTTTTATAAATGTTAAATATTAAAGTCAGTGGTGCTCGAGAAATTTGTAAACACCCTGTATATTAAATCTTAATTCGATAGAGGAAAATAGTGTGCTTAGAGCTCCAAAAAATATTAATGGAACCCTGCCAAAATTAAGTGTGTGAGTGTGTGCAACTAATTAATGATTTAAAGCTACATATTTGATTTTTTTTGGAGGTCATGAAATGAAATTGAAGCTTAAATAAATTTGCAAGTTTTATACAAAATTCATCACATCTATTTGTTATTTATGTGGCAGAAACTAAAATATATTTTATAGATCCATCTACAAAAGCTGAGAATTCTCCAAACTCTTCTTACGATATATCCTTTCATAAAGAATCAAAGACAAACCCTTATTGATTTAATAGAAGAAAGTTTTTGCACAGAAATTCACCAACCCTGCGTGAAACAACTAATGCAGTGGTTATTGCTTTGCTTAGTAAAAGACCAGGATGATGATTACTTTAATTCAATAAAGGTTAAAATTGATACCGCGAGCAAATCACAACCTTCAACTATAGTTGCATTTATCATGGTTCTTCTTCATTTAACTCTGAATAGACAAGAGTCCCACTGGTTCTCAGCTGTTGAAGCATTAATACCGTGGAGTATGGGAGCGCATTTCAAATTGCGCGTCTATTCTCAGGTAATGTATAAAATTTAATTATTAGAAAATTACAAAAAAATGAGTTGCTGTCGTTACGAAGATTTTTATTTAGAATTATAACTTTTTATTATATAGATAGTTAACTTGATATGATTTTTAAATATAAATGATGTTCCTCCAAAGGAATTTAAAAAAAATGGTTGCATTTCAAGACAAAGTGGTTACTAAAGTAAAAAATCATGTTTTTATGTTTTAACTATAATTTAACTCGTATATACGAGTTGTGGTTATTTTGATTTGCTACTTAAATATGTTCCTTTGATTCGCAACTCAACTTTTTTGCTTATAGAGTCCCGAACTATTTTGTTAATTTTTGAGAATTTACTTTACACACTTAATGTGCTTTTTTCTAAGATTTTAAATAATGTTTTAATATTGTGGATTTCAGGCAGCTTTAAAAAAGTTGTTAGAAGAAGGAAAACGAAAAAATTATGGAAAGTTTCTAGCAAAATATAGTTACTTAGAAAAATCTATTCTTTCCGTAATTGAAGCAAGTGGGTATGCTTTCTATGAAACACTAAAATCTGACGACCTTATTTTTTCTGTATTTCAACCCGAGAAGTATTATTCGTTAGAAACTATTTATGTAGATATCCCAAGACTTAATGGAGTAACTGGAACTGAATGGGAAAATATATTAAAATACAAATTTATTACTCAAAAATGTATTCCCACATATAACGAAAATCGGTCATTTTCGAATTCTGTAACAATGAGTATAGAAAATAATGTAAAGGGAAAAGCCAATGAAGTAATATGTAAAAATGTTTATAATATCCAAAGAAAAATAGATCCTTGGAAAAATGTAATAGAGGAACAAGGAAGTAATAAACAAATAAGCGAATTTATTTTAATTGCTTCTTTGATAGACAAGTCAACAAACCTAGGAGGATTATCACGAACATGTGAAGTGTTTGGCATAAAACAACTGGTTTTAAATGACATAAAAATATTAAGCAATAAAGAATTTAAAAGTTTAAGCATGTCATCAGAGGACTGGGTTAATGCTGTAGAAGTTAAAACTTCTGAATTAAAAAAATTTATCTGTGAAATCAGAAACGGAGGCTATTCTGTAATTGGCGCTGAACAAACATCTGACAGTATTTGTCTCGATAAATACAAATTTAATAAGAAGACTGCTTTAGTATTAGGGTAAGTAGTAGCATCAGGGTATGTTTAAAATTTTTATTTCTATTTGATTCTATCTAAATATCTAAAATACTCTGGAACTCTGTTATCCGGCTCAAATGGGATTGGAAATTATTTATATATGATATGATACGGATATTCTGGAAAATTTTCTAATAATGATGTAAGTAAATAGTTTTACTTCAATGTTGATATTTTTTCAAGTTTATCACTATTTCTTATATACAAGATGTTCCCTCTGTTGATGGAGTACCTATTACATTTTCTGTAAATGGATTAATTTTGGCAGTAATTCGCGGTTCGTCATCTAAGAAAAAAAATACAATTGCAATTTCTTAACTTATTCTAAGAGTAAATCATAAACAAATTTCAAAAAAGAACTTTTCTATTAACAAAAATGTCACAATATTTCTAAAGTTGGCATAATACTATAAAGAAAATTAACCATTTACCACTTTGTTGCCTTTTTTTTGGAGTACTTTAAATACGAGATCTCAAAATTTTCATAGAGTCCCATTTCAATAAACTTACTTTTCTGACAAAACTAATTTTATTGAAAACATAATTTTTTGAAATTGACAATATAAAGAAAATTAACTGTTTATCATTTTGATGCCTTGTATAGAGCAAAATAGTCATCTGTGTAGGAAATCAAATCTTAAACAATACTTTTTCTTATTACTTAAAATTAACTGCAAGATATATGCAATTTTAATAATGTATATTTTTAAATGTCTTCCGATTTAATTGGAAATAAATTAAATCCATTTTCTTTTTGTTAAATACAATGTACACAATTCTGTGGTCAGTGTTGCCCCTTTATAATACAAGAAAGAAAAATTACCTTGATAAAAGTTCTCTAAACTTCTGAGAATTAGAAAGGGAACTAATTACACAGGAATTCAGTTTTTCAATATAAAACCATATGACATAAGAAACTTGAAATTTATTTAAAACAAAAATTAAAAACTATTAGAGCACACTTTTTATACTTTTACCGAATATTTTAATAGTAGTTTCTTGACTATGACAATGTAACATGTTTTTTTTAAATTTTTTATAATATTTTGTTAGTACTGGATTTCTACATTTTATAAAAAAAATATGTTGATCTTTTTTTTATATTTGGGTACTTCTCTTATTTTTGGCGAATGTAAACACTTTTGTGTGTATAACATGAATTTTTAATAAAGAAGAATAAAATAAATAAACTTGTATTTAAAAATAACAGTTTCAAATAATTTTTCAAATGTATGTAGAACTGCATTACTTTAAAAAACTTTATTATTTAACTTTTGACTTTAAAACAATTTTGATATATACAGGCTGTTACAAATTTGCTTCTCACAGGGATCTTGGAAACAGTAAGAGATACGAAGTAGCTTAAATGGGGTTAACCCTTTCGCTGCACAATACGTCTGAACATAGCTACCGCGCCGTGCGCGAAAGTTTATCTCGTGCAAATATATACGTCTGAAGCAGTGAGACCACTTATAGTTTTACATTATGTTGTGTTAAATTACGATTTACGATTATATTTTAAATAAAATACAGTATATCGACAGCTGTACTAAATAAAAACTGAAAGAGAGATGAACAATCTTGGCATTATTACCAGTACCTCCTTCCATAAAAACATTTGTCACAATCACTATTAGCTCCGCCCGCAAAATTTCCCCATACTAATTGCACTAATGCGCATGGTTGCGAATATATACGGTTTGAGCAGCCTGATTCAATTTAACTATTCAAGCGAATTAATCCGTCTGGAGCAGTTTGAGCCCTATAAATTTTTAGCGAATAAATACGTCTGGAGCAGTGAAAGGGTTAAAGTTGCATAATCCGGGGACCAACATAATGTCTCTAAAAAATCAAGATGACACGATTAGTTTTCAAAATATTAAAAAAAAAACGAAACTTTGGAAATCCGTTTTTGTTTCATTTCAGCCTTGTTTGAGGCGATATTGAAAAAAAAAAAAACACTTTCTCATGGCAACTTTTTGCCCTCTATCAAATGGTATAATCAATTTTTATATGTAATGTTTCATCTCTTCAGGACCATCATCAACTTAATTTTTTTAAATATGACCCTGGAAAGCTTTCGAATTTTTAACAACCTTGCGTTTAAGTGATTTGGAAATATATCGAAATAAATTCTTCTTGCCTCCACACAATTGCCGAGTGCTTGTCCATCCATAAGTTAGATCAGGGTTGTCCAACTGGCGGCCCGCGGGCCGCATCCGGCCCGCATAATGTTTTACGAAAAGCATATATTTTCTTTAAATGCTGCCATTGTGAAAAAAGATTTATATTTTATGGTCTCTAACACTTGCTAATGTACAACCATGTAAGGTGGCCGAGTGCAGGAAAGTGCATGGAACGATTTTTTGCCATAAGAAAGGAAATCCCTGCATTCCTCAATGAATACGTTTCATCTGACACAACTGAACTGGAAGAGAAGTTTAAGGATCCAGAATTCTTAAGACAGTTAGCTTTTATAACAGATCTGACTAATCATCTTAACAGTTTAAATTTGAGTCTTCAAGGAAGAAACCAGACGGTTTCAGATTTGATCGGAAAAATAAACGGATTCCGGAATAAGCTGAACGTGTTTAAACATGCTTTGGAAAAGAACAACCTGACACACTTCCCTAGCTGTCTGCAACTAGCAGAAGAATTCAATAGTGAGGAAAATATTGAGTTTTCATGCTGCAGTTCACAAATTCAACAAGTTATTGATGAATTCAATACAAGATTTGAAGAAATTGAAAGTCTTAAAAGCAGTGTACTGCTTTATAATAATCCTCTTGGAGCAACCATTGAAGATCAACCACCTGACTTACAACTTGAGTTATGTGATCTTCAAGCTGACATGTTCCTAATCACCAGACAAGAAAAGGGACCTGAATTTTTCAAATTGCTGTCTAAGGAGAAATTCCCAAACCTGCGAGATTTTGGACTGAAAGTGACATCAATGTTCGGAAGCACATATACATGTGAAAGTGCTTTTTCCTCCATGAAATACATTAAAAACCACAACAGAAGCAACCTTACCGATTCTTCCTTACGTCATCTCATGAGACTGTCTACAACTGAACTGGAGGTGTACATTTCTTCATTGGTGGATGAAGCCGATCGACCACAGTCTTCACATTAGATACAACTTTTCATTATTATTGCAATGTTTGTCTTAGTTCTTGAAAAAAATTATGTATAAATTTTCCATTTATCTAAAAAAATGTAGTTGTTGAGCAGTAAAAGAAATAATACTCCTTTTTTGTTTTAATTATTTTTATACCTCACGTTATTTTGTTATTACTTTAACAAAATTATTATATGGCCCGCAACCACATCAAGGTTTTAGTTTTGGCCCTTGAGGCCTTGCAAGTTGGACACCCCTGAGTTAGATGCATGTAAGCATGAGATGTAATAATGCCAAATTTTATTATTTTAAAACGAATTATTAGTTGTGACGTTATTCCATTATTATTGTGTTTAAATAGCTTATGTTAATAAACTTTATAATTAAATAAATTAATATTTAAACATGCTATACAATAACTAAATTTTTTCGAAAATGGCTGATTTTATCAAAACAAACGTAGAGTACCTTTTTTAAAGAGGAATAACCAAAGTATGTTATGTTAATAAACTTCATAATTAAATAAATTAATGTTTAAACATGTTATACAAAAACTGAATTTTTTCGAAAATGGCTGATTTTATCAAAACAAATGTAGAGTACCTTTTTTAAAGAGGAATAACCATAAGTATTTAAAAATTCAGTTTTCAGCTCAAAATTTTGGCCCAATGAGCGTAGTGGCAAGCCCGTTCCTGATTTCCCTGTCAGTGTAAAACATCTACTGTAGTATGGTTTTCTGAGCTTTTATGACCTACATAAAATATTAAAATTTTATTAAATTTTACAAGTCATTTCGAAAGTTAGAACCGAAAAGCTAAATCCGGGTTCAGATGGAATCTAAATAAACAGAGTTCCACATTATAAGACAAATTTTGGCTGTCCTTTACTTTCAAACACATCAAGCAAAATAATAAATTTTTCTCTTTAAGGAATGAAAGAGAGGGAATACCGCCAGATATTATACCAATTCTTGATGCTTGTATAGAAATACCACAGTTTGGAATGGTGCGTTCTTTGAATGTCCATGTAGCTGGTGCTACATTTATATGGGAATACGTTAAACAACATTTAATTAAATAATGTCTATTATAAATATAAGTGTAGATACATTACTTTTTGTAACATTTTAGTGATAAATTAATAAAATTATTAATGGGAACGTGCAATGTCTGAAAAGAAATGTAATATGTCGTCTATTGTAAATTCTAAATTAATCATTGATCCTGGATAACACTGCTGAATTAAATCCTCCAACATTTTGTACTGTCTTATAAATTCTTCTTGCATAGCCCTCCAAACCACTTGAAGAAGATTCCCTTCTTCAGATAGATGTTTTTCAACTTTTCTGTATAACGCCTCTAGACCTTTTTTTACCTTTAATAATAGAGTGAGAGAATAAATTACTAAAAATGTACTTTAAAGTTACTAAGATAAAAATAAAGAAACAACAGACATCTATGTTGGGATAAAAGAAGGCAGTAATAGGAATAAAATCTAGAGCATATCCCAGAAGTTTTAATTTCAAATACACAAAGAATTTAAAAGTGCACAGGATTGTGCACTATAAGTGTGATTCCTATTTTCTCCACTACATTCAGGCATAGAAAGAAGTGTAGAAAAAAATAAATAATGGATCCTTTTTTTAATGGAACAATATAATTTTACACATTTGGAATTGGATTGTCTCTAATACGGCGGCTGCCTTTTATATTTTGGGATTAGAGAACAAAAAAGAAATTAATCATTGTATATCGCTTTATTGGTTTCAAAATATTCTCCATGAAGATCAATACACTTTTGCATGCGCCTGAACCAATTTTCAAAGCACTTTTTCTATTCCGATTGCGGTACCTCTAAAACATGCATTTTGAACGCATCAACCATTTCTTCAGGCATCGAAAAACATTGGTCTCGTAATTTATTTTTTATGTGCGGGAATAAAAACAAGTTATTGGATGCCAAATTAGGGCTGTACGGTGGATGACTCATCAATTCGATTTTTTCAATTCTCAAAATAGTCTTGTTTGAGTGTGCGTGAGACTGTCCACTGTCCTGGTGGAGAATGATGCATCTTCAGCAGTTGGTTTACCTTATTTTTACAAAGACTCTGGTAAAAAAGTAAAAAAAAACACATCACTTTGTCTCATGTACTTTAAAAAGATGTTGACGTTTCAAACACAGCCACACAAAAGTCTACTTTTCATGCGACATATGTTATCCGTAGTAATTTTGCCTACTGATCCGGTGTCAGAATTGAGCTATCACATCACAGGAATTTCCTAACCTCAAAAAACAGGTTAGAACTAGCAAAAATTCACGAAAGTGCTAGAATACATTTTTTGTTTCTATAATCAAAATGTAAGGTTAAGACCCCAACAAACGTGAAACTGTGGTCAGAATTGATGGTTCTTTCTCTAATCTCAAAAAACGGGTTAAGTAATTAATTTAATATCACGAATTTTCAAAAAATAAGATTCGCGCCAAATTTGGGATACGGGGGTTTTCGGGGTCGCTGATCATGGATCCGAGATCATTTTTGCAAAGTTCAAGATGGCGGATCCAAGATGGCCGACCAAATTTTCAAAAAATAATATTCGCGCCAAATTTGGTATACGGGGTTTTCGGGGTCGCTGATTACGAATTCAAGGCTGTGAAATCTATCGGTTTTTGTCTTCTGAACGTGTTTTACTTTTCATTTTAATTGCTTTGACAGTTTAAATTTGTTTGCTTTTGTCAAAGCAACTAAAAGGAAAAGTCAAACAGTTTTAGAACATGAAAACATAGTTTTTCGAAACGTCAACAACTTTCTAAAGTGCGCGATACAAAGAGATGTTTTTTGTACTATATTTTGTATCTGTTTGCTTTTTTCAGTGAGATTCTTGGGTTAGGCAAAACTATTTCTATAGAAATAAACCCTTGAATGATCCTTTTGGTATTATGGTTTAATTCACTGATTTTTCCAGTTGGCAAAATACCCAAATAAAGAAAAAAGCAAGAATTATGCCACAAATAAATAACTTCAGACAATAAATATACAAGGTGTTTCATTCACCATGTTAAGCCTATATCTTTCTAATAGCTGTTTTTACTTCGTGAAGAAATCGGACAGGTGTAATGCCCAAATCTGCTGACTTAATGAGTTTATTCATGAAGTTCTTCACAAATGTGAACATGTTCTAATTTTCATGAAGTTCGGATGTACCAACCCAAGAAATCTTCACCCTCAGATTAGTACAACTTTTGTATTGTTTTTAGTGATATATTGCTTACAAAAACTAATATTTATAAACAGTGTCAAAACGGTACCACTGTTTTACCATTACATATACAGCAGGGCCTCGATAATCCGAACACCGAAAATTTATACCCTGTTCGGATTCACGAAGCGTTCGGATTATAGTATGTAGACATTTTGAAAGGGATTTTTCGAAATAAAACAAAAATATTTTACATTATAATGTATTTATTTAAGTATGTACGTTAGATGTATGTTAGATACAATGCTATTAATCACACTTTTTTAAAGAATTCCACTATAGTGCATTGACGAGTAGTATTTAGCGACATATAAAATGCTTTATCCCTTAATTTACGTAACAGCATTTTTTCCAGAATAGAAATGTCGACTTCATCTGCCCATTCCAAACAAAAAACGCACTGCGTATGACACTGGCGAGACAGAAACTGTGAGAAACGGCGGTTGCGCAGGGGTAAGGGGGGTCGTTCGGATTATAGAGGCGTTCGGACTAGCTGGGATACGGATTATCAAGGCCCTGCTGTATGTGGAAATGCGAGAAATTTTTTTTAATGAAATTTGAAATTTATTTGCTACGTTGGTAGCTTGGTACGTTGCTATTTGTTGGTAGAACTGTTTCATGTCTCAAAGAAATTCGCAAAGCCTGTAGCGGTGTAAAACCAAAACCTTCATGAATAAATTTGTGAATGACTTCATGAAGAACTTCGTGAATTTATTCATGAACAAATTGTCAATGTCAAAACAGTGGCGGATCTAGAGATGGAAGTTTTTAAAGAGATGAAATATTAATTTATTGTTTGATCTTTGATTTTTTTCGGACCAACAACCTGGATCCGCGCCTGTGTCAAACAGCTATAATGCAGCGCTTACAGACATTTTTTTCAAATAAAAGAGCACTAATAAAAATTCAATTGCAACTGAAATATAAACACTAAATGAATTTATAATGTTTCTTACAGATTTTATTCCTACAAGTTTTTTCATATCTTGAACGGTAATGGAGAAAATAGGAATATTAGAATTAAAATAATCGTTCTTAACCCCACTGCAAAATCTGTTGATTTGTTTTGTTAGTAGCATCATTATACTTTACCGTACTGCCTGGATATTGACTAATAACTTTCCGCAATTCCTGTTTACTGAATGCCAGCTGGTAACTCACTTCTGAAGCTTTTACTCCACTTGCAACTCTTGACTGAACTCCTTCGAAGAACGTCTAAAAATTTTATTTTACAGTTTTCATCATTTTTTACTCTCACTACTCACATTCAACTTTTCTAGTGGGCGACCAAAGTACAATGTAACATAGGCTTGCAAAGCATCATTATATTTTTGTTTAGCTTCTTTTCGTTGACTATCAAGTACAGATATTTTAAGCTGTGACAGCAAGGAATACAAGTGGTGATAATTTTCTGAAAAGTAAACTCCACTGTTAACATGTGACGAGTGTTTGGATTATTTCTTACCCATTTTTATTACTTGCGAGGGTGTTTTCTGGTCATTAGAATGAATAGCAATGTATTCCAACATGGTGTCAACTAGTCTAGTATACCATTTTTCTAAATCAGCTCGACGGTCACTCTTTAACAAACAGTCGGCATTTGTGGCAAAAATTTCAAGATTTGAAACATACGGAAGAATACCACATTTTGATTTTCTTGTTAATCTGCATTCCTTTATCGATTCAATTTGCTGTTGCATGAACTGATCCAAGGAGCGTTTAACTTCTATGAGTTGAGAACCAAATGTATTGCTAAGGAAAGAACTCTGAGCCGACATAACATGTTGATTGAGACGTACGAGAACATACATACAGTAACTGAAATGAAATAAGTTACAAATGAGATATGCTATCTTTTTGTTGTAACATTATTGTTTTTGAAGGCATGGTGTTAAATTTTAGTACTGATATACAGAATGGCTGGTGTGGCAAAGTACAATAGTTTTGTTATTGCTGTGGGTAAGATATAACCTACAAAGTGTTATATCTTGATATCACTGTCTTCTCACCGATGGCATCTGATGAAAACTAATAAGCTTGAAATCAGTCTGTCTGGTAACTCTGTTACTATTTAAAATATAAATCTTATAGATGTTGGAGTGGATAAAAAACTATGTATGTTTTGATATTATCTTCAAATACAAAGTGCTTAAAAATGTTGACAATAGACAGTAGCGTTCTCTCATTCTGTTACATAAAGAAGTCTGTGAAATAAAGAAAATTGCCCATTTTGGCAAACTCGTAATTCGTTGAAAATTTTGAGATCACGAGGATTATGACATTATCACTCATATCTCCAAAACCAAAGTTGAACTAACCTTGGAATTTTCTCAGTAACACGTTCTAATGATTTACAATAATTTAGCACAAAATTTTTAACGAATTGCGAGTTTGTCAAAACAGGCAATTTTCTGTCACTCTTTATGCTGAATATCTGTATACTTTTCAGTGATTTATGTTTTCATTGTGGATGTATCAAACAAAACATAACATAAATCTACAATCACAAAACAGTTTGCTACAGAAAATTAAATAAATGTAATAAAATAAAACAGTGATGGATTCCGTTATCCTCATTTCGTCAAAGTAATGTTGGCTGTTTGTTTTTTGCCTGTCTACCACTCTGTTAACATATCATATTCCAATCATATAAATTATAACTTTCCTAAATGCGTCCCTATCAATTTTTATAATCACGCAGGGGCATAAAAATGCTGTTATCAGCAATTTTTATATATTAAAACATTTCCAAAATTAGCAAAAATAATTATAGAAATACTTCAATAAAACTCAAAGAGGAAGAAAAGTATGCACAATAAAGCACCTGGATAGAGGGTGATACATTGAAAAATTGTAGGAAATGTCGTTTGAAATTTGTAAAGTTGGCATATTTATAGTTTTAATATTTTCCACAATCCAACAGTTTTTTGTATCTTGAATACTGTCAGACCACTTGTATTTTGTCACACTTTTGCACTACCCTGTATTAAAGTACAAAAAAATTATGCCTTTATAAAATTATCACAATATGTATAAAGATTACTTCATTATAACACTTACAAACTATCTTGCTTCTTTATATGATCTATTAATAGATCCAGTTCCGTTTTCAAGCAAGTAAATAAATTGCTCATCATATTTCGAACATCTTCATCAATTTGCTTTTCAGCTTTACGTTGTGGAACTACTTCCATCGGAAATTCAGCTCCATCAAGTGTTGTTTGAGTATTTTTTAAAGTAGAACTTATTACATCAAGCTGGAAAATTATTTGATGTTTTCTAAGGCAACGGGTATTTAAGCGTAAACTTACTTGAAAAAATTTTACACAAAATTGCTGTTCTTGCATAAATACAGGTTCTAGTTGAGTTAAGACTTGCTCAAGTACAGTGTCATATCTTTTTCTGTCTTGAGAACTAGTTTCTAGGGTCCATAAATCTTTGTCCAGCCCAATTAGCGATGTCGGAGAAGACACAGCACCGTAAACTATAATTATTAAATATTTTCTAATATAAGTCATACATTTGACCTTACAAATATTTAATTGCTAATACAGTTTTATTGCAGATGGTCTAATTTTAGGTTATAATAAGGACGTAAGAGTTTTGACTAATTGAGTATTTAATTTAAAATGTCAAATTTACATTTTTTTCTTTCAATAGGCAACTTGCATGGAAATTTGATTTCATTAAAATGAAGTTTATGGATGTCAACAATTAACAGCGGTAAAAAAAATATTTTTTTAATACTACAAATTAATTATCAATGTTTAAGATTATGTAAAAATTTAGATTACACCAAGTGGTCAATTTTTCACAATACAGCCTTGAATTTACAAAAAAAATCCCTCAAAATTTATTCAGACCTAATAGTTTGTTTATCCCTTTCAATTTTGAATTAATCTTTTTTCCGTAATTCAATAACAAAACTTTATAAAATAAAAATGTTACCTGCAATTTTTTCTCTGGCTGTGTTAAAAAGTCCCTTTAAATCTCTATCATAAAGTTTTCCTAAAGAAGTAGTGTAGACCTCTTTTAAAGATTCATACATTTTTTTGTCCATAACCTGAGACAGATTTTTTTAGATTCATTAATTAATGTTTATAACAAAACTTGCCTTCATCCAATGCATTAACTCGGTATAGGAATATAGTTCCTTATGAACACCACTATGTTGTGGCAGTATTAACCCTTCCACATTTCTGTCTGACTCTCCTTTGTGATTCCCATAGTGTATAAATAAGTTATTTAATTGTCTGCTTAAGCTCCGAGAAAATTTTTCTTTATATTTTTCAAATTTTTTTCTTTGCTCTTGAACAGCAGTCATTTGAAGCAAGGCTTTATCAATGTTGGAATTCATAGCAACTTTCAAAGCGTTTGCCGCTTTAATTGCTGCAGTCAATCCTTCCTGTGTGGTGAAGTCTGATTCTTCCAAAGTTTTTTGATATTCCACTGGCAAATTTAATTTTGTCTGAAAATATTTAACTACTTTGAAAAGAGTTGAAATATAATTTTTACATATTATTGAAAAAAAAACTTTTGTACATAAATACATACAATCATGTTTTCAAGTTCTTGCAACAACAACAGATTATTAGTATTAGCCACTGAAATCATCGAGTTCTTTTTTTCCATTTTTTCCATTGTATCCCTTACATGGCATAAGATTTCATCATAAGCATTTAACTGTGTTTCAAGTCTATCTGCTTCATTTATAGCTAGTTCAAGTTGTTCCATTAAAGTTTCGACTTGTTCTTCTGATGCTAACAAACACTGTACATTTTCTCCATCTAATAAAGATAAATCTCTCGCTAAAACTTCCATGAAACCTTCGGCATTGCTAATTGCATATTCACATCCAGACATTAATCTAAAATTAACGAAGCACATAAAAACAGACAAAAAGAAACCATTACGGATGGGTAAATACCTACAGAATATTCGTATGTCGTACCACAGACAATATAGCGTATCGCTACAGACTGCTACTTAAATGCTGGAAATTGGCAACCCGAAATGGAAGCAGGGTCTCCTTAGCCAGCTTCCAGCTATAAAATTTAGCGTGGTAACTCTTCTACTTGGTAATAGGCGGCATTTCCAGCGGTGGCTTTGTTGCCAAATAATAACTGCTAAATAAACTTAATGCTTTCAATTATGTAATTAAAGAGATAAGTAACTTATCTTGTGTTTGGAAATCACATTTGCCTTAAATGTTAAATAAAATAAATCAAGTTAGAATTAAAACTATGAATTTACCTAATTAATTATTTATTTTATATCACCTTGGAATGGGAAAATTCATAAACTCGGAATTAATGTTTTTAGATTTGTGCGTCGACTTCCAATATGGTACGATATTAACACCCATGTTTAAAAAAATTGCATTATACAGGTTGTGTATCCTTAGAAGGGTACTGCCTCTTATTGTTGATTTCTTTAGATAGGTAAAATAATTATTGACACAAGTGTTGCATATCAAAGATGTCATTGGTAGTGCTCATATTTGTGACACAAGGTGTTCAAAAAAATTAACACAATGTAAAATTGCTGGAACCTCAAGGAGTAGTTGAATACGAACTTTATTTAAAAAAAACAACAAATCATCAATCAATATAGAGATAAGATAATGCGTTCGCTATTGCTATTGCAATTTTTGACTAACGTTTTTGTTTTTCGACATACTGACTTCGGACCGTGTCCATTCAACGCAGAACGGACAATCAGAACCAGAGTAGTGGGGAGATTTTTTCAATTATTTTTCAATTCAACACACCGTTTCCAAATTATAAGACCTTTTTTACTGTATCACCTCATACACCTCTTCTTTCCGAAATTTATTTTCCACATACGGACTTCGGACCTTTTCCATTCAACGCAGAACTGACACACAGAGCCAGGGGTGTGGGGAGAATTTTTCAATTATTTTTTCTATTTAACACACCGTTTCCGAGTTATACGACCTTTTTACTATAACACGACATACCTCTTGTTTCCAAAATTTATTTTCGACATACGGACTTCAAACCTTTTGCATTCAACGCAGAAGGAACATACAGAACCCGGGAGGGAGGGGTTGACATTTTTCAATTATTTTTTCGATTCAACACACCGTTTCCGAGTTATAAACACTTTTTTATCCTACGATGTCAAACACCATTGCTCCCGATTTTTTTTTTGACATGCAGGTTTTGACGTTTTTCACTGGTTCACCATGGGAGAATTATTTGTTCACCATGGGAGATTTTTTGATACTTAGAGTCTAAGCAAATACTGTTTTTTTTCTTTCATATATTGTGACACCCCGCTCTGCGTCACCCACCGAGTGCTCTATTCGGAACCAAGGGGACATTTGTTTATATTTCCAGCCATTTCCGAGTTACGAGTAAAAAGCGTTTTTTTCTTATACTGTGTGACATCATAGATCGATAATGAAGGCTAAAAAGGCCACCCGCTCTACCCCACGCTCCCTCCCTAGGTGTCCTGAAATTGCTGGGAAGACTCCTGAAGACAGCAGAGAGAGAGAGATAAGCTCTCTATGAGGACAGAGTCACTCTATCTCTATGAGGACAGAGTCACTCTATCTCTATCGCACACTATAACTCTATCTCTTTCGCACACAATCAGACAAAAATGACAGAAAAGAACATTTTTTTAAAAATACATGGGATTTATCATTATTAGAATAACCCATTTTAATTAAAAAAATTACAATGGGTTATTCTGATGACGAAAAATAAAACATAATTAACTGTATTATTCAAATAACAATAATGTGCAAAAGTTCTTCAGGAATATTGGCAAATTTACTTTGGAGGAAGAATCCCGTCAACGAACACTAAAAAATATTATTAGAAACCTTAGGTGGCCAGAAAACAGCCCCGATCTCATTGTCAGTCCTTTAGACATAATTTTTTTTACCTGAAAGTTCACAAGTATTGAAAGAAAAATACAGGACGAAATGCTTGATAATTTTAAATTTGTTTTTGAAGCAATTAATAGTAAATTAAAACATATTTTCAACTGTATCATCACAATCACTTGCATGCTGATTTGTAAAAATTGTAGGTATATTAATGTTATTTCGTTTTTAGGTATTCTCCTTATGTTGTTGTAAAGGTTAGTTATAAAAATCGTTGTTTGTTATTTTCATAAGGATGAATTTTATTTTTTTTTTAATGATTTTTTTTATTTTAAACATAATATATTTTATGCCAGCAAATTTTGATGTCAAATGAAATAAAGGAAAAGTTGTACATTTGTATTTAAAGTTTCTTTCTATCTTTAATTATTAAACCAGTAAGTGGATGTCAAAATACAAAAAAAAACCTGTACCTACATTCCGCGACGTACTAATAACCCACCTTGTATATTAAATAATTTATCGTCATTATCAAATATTAAAAAAAATATATTACAAGCTGTTTAAAATATTATTACGAATTTTGTTTGTTTGGAAATATATTTTCTGCAGTATTTCAATACCAAAAAATGAAAATAGTAGGTAGCTAATTAACGAAATTATGATTAAATAACTTAATTGTAACACTGCTGCAAAATATCATATGAAACAACATAGATATTCGTTAATTCTTTAAAAACATTTCTATCAATACCTACATCATACATTTAAGTAAATACAGTACCGCAAAAAACAGATATTGATAAGAAAGTGTACAAAAGAAATCCGTAAGTACGCCTGGCAACATTACCAAAGCCTTGTTTATATGTTGCTAGGATACGGGTAGGTATGCGGGCCGCTGCATTTGATTCTTCCTAAAATTCTGCTGGTGGTGTACTCTACCGACAATTCGGAAAATTAAAACTGCCGGCCTATTCCAGTAGCGGTCTGTGGCAATAGCTATTTTGTCTGTGGTCGTACTTATAAAATATTTTAAATAAAACAAATTAAATAACAAAAAACATTTATAAATAATATAAGGTATATTTTCATGTGTTACAAACCTTTTCAAATCTTCCTGCTCTTTATCAGTTATAGCTTGAAAGTCTTCAGCAAAATCATTCTCTAGAGCTAACAAGGGTGAAGTAACATATTTATTTTCTGGCGTCATAGCATCTTCTTTTATCCACGTTTTTGGAATATTTTTAAACATTGGTTTATCTTTCAGAATGTGTCTTGATGACTGTTTCCATAAATTGTGTATAAAAGCATGACGTTCCTTTGGATTTGTGGCTACCCATCTATAAACTTTGTCTACATGTAAATCAAATTCCAATGTATCATACTGTTCGTTGTGTCCATCCACAGATTTAAGTTCTGCAAGTGCCCAACTGCGTTTCTTTTTAAATATTTGTTTATCCGTCTGTTTTATTTGAATAATGGAAATATTGTATGGTAAAGTTGTTGTACTAACTAGACATAAAAATGAAGTTTTCTTTTTCTTCAAATATTTACTAACATGACAGCATGTTATTAATCTTTCTTCTGTTGGTTGAAATATATCTTGTTGTAGCGTACGTATTACTGTAGAGCTCATTTTGTTTAAGTAACTAAATACTAAACTTATTTACTATACTATTTGTGGGAGGTTACATATTTTAATTTGACAACTGTCACATGTCAAAATAAAAAAAATGTCAATTTTTAGGGGGCTTTCGTTTTGGCAAAAATAGTACCTATTTGCAACTTATATCAGTTCAGAGTAACTCTAAGTTGCTATTAACTACTAATAGCTACAAATTTTGCCAAATCGAAAGGATCTATAGCACGGAATATCTCAACATAGTGTTCTCTGATCACAACTACAGATATTCTGTGTCTATAGTTACACCAATCCAGCAAGTTCAGCAACTAAACCTCATCAACCACGATATTACAGAGATTTGTGATTAAATTGATCACTAGCAATTATTTTTGCATTTAAAAGAATGTAAATAGTCCAGCTGAAAATTTTACTATGCACCTAGAAATTTCCAGGTTTACTTTTATGTGCAAGAGTCTTCCAACAAAATGAATGGAATTTGCTATTTCTTCGCAAAGTAAAAAATATATAGCATGAACTTTTAAAACCAATAATATATTTTTAAAGAATATTTGTTGCAGAAGTTCTTATAAAGATATTTACCTTAAACTGACTAAGATATATTTAACTTAATAACTCCAAAGTATGACAATATAAAAAAACATTCTATTTTAAAAAATCACCAGAAATTAAGCTAAAATAAACTAAAATCTAAAGTAATAAAATGATAAACTCTTCTATCACTTATATAGTTTATACTTTATACTTTTCATAGCAACCCATTTCCTTCAAGCGAAAGTCTCTAAACCATATTTTTTGGTTCAGGTTCACTATGTGCACCTTAGTGTAAGTGAAAAAAAATCATTTGTAAAAGGAAAACTGTTATATTTATTATTTTCTAACGTGGCACTTGCATTATATGTTTTGTGCTGTGGTGGTAATACTGATCAACTGACAGTTCGACAATTTTGTGACAGCTGACAGCAGACAATAGCGGTGATAGAAATTGGAGTGGTGAAATAGGTGGATAAGGAAAGGATAAAGAAATTTAACATTTTTTTTAGTTTTCTGCTACATAGTTTTTGTAATTAATGATATAATCATAAATTGAATAAAACAATGGTAAGTTATTATACCACGTAAAATATGTTTTGACCAGATATAGCATAAATAGATTCAAATAAAGGGGCGTTTAATCTAATGATAAGTAACCTATAATAAGAATATTTAGAGATATTAATAGGGTAATTACTTTATTTTAGGCGGATAAAGCCTCTCCAGATGAGGGAAATAATGTTCCCCTGACAGATAGTTCTCTGGTTGTTGATATTTCAGATGCATTAAGTGAAAAAGATAAAGTGAAATTTACTGTCCATACTCGCACTAGCATGAAAAATTTTCAGAAACCAGAGTTTTTGGTAGTACGGCAACACGAAGAATTTATTTGGCTTCATGATCGTTATGAGGAGGAACCCAAATATGCAGGGTACATTGTAAGTTTTACCTAATGTATTCATTTTTATAATATTATAATAAACATTTATTTGCTGATAGTGTCAATAAGTAAGGAATAAGGAATATCTCATATATATGTAAATGTTTTGCAAATATGAATATTTTCTTGTTTATTTTTGAGTAATTTTATCTTTAAGTCCTTGTATTTACCAAGTTGGTAAATCCACCAATATTTATTATAGAAAAATTAAATTTAAATTGCATACTGATTATATGTATTTTAATTTTCTTCATCCTTAATTAAAATAAATTGGCTATATTTGTTCATTAAATATTTTGACCACATATTTTGACAAAAATGGTTTTTAAAGAATGAGTTTAAACCTCTTCTGGTCATATTATTATGTTTTATATTTTCCACATAAATAGCTCATTTTCTAGATATATTGGCCCTACTGTGGCTTATGTAGTATCTTGAATGATGATATTTACAGATACCACCTCCACCACCCCGTCCAAATTTTGATGCTTCCCGTGAAAAATTGCAGCGCCTTGGAGAAGGTGAAGGAACCATGACAAAGGAAGAATTTAATAAAATGAAACAAGAGCTTGAGGCGTAAGTAGTTTTGATAATGGCATTAAAGAATATTTCATTAGATAAATAACATTACAATTATATAAACATTTTTTGATTTGTTTTTCATAAGATTATTGAATACATGGCAATCTGGTTTTGTATTTCACATTTATAATGAGTTGTTTTGAAAGAAACTGATTCATTTTTTGTTGTAGTTAATGTGTATAATTTTTATGGTTCCTCTGTCTACCACAAAAAAATTAATTTTCTATGCTCTGGTTTATTCTTACTGATAATAATTCATTTCAGTGAATATTTAGCAACATTTAAGAAGACTGTAGCTATGCATGAAGTTTTTCTAACTCGGTTGGCTAGCCACTCGGTTTTTAGAGAAGATCCTCATCTGCACGTATTTTTAGAATATGATCAGGATTTATGTGCACGACCTAAAGGCAAACTGCAACAATTAGGTGGTTTAATTAAATCTGTTGGTAGTACAACTGATCAATACTATCTGAATGCGACTGTTAGAGACGTAAATGACTTCTTCGAACAGCAAATGAATTCCTTGACAGAATATCATGGTCACCTCAAAGAAGCCACATCTCGTACTGACAAGATGACTGAGAAACATAAAGGTTAGTAATTATTTATTCGGCAAACACAATTATTTTGGTGTTTAGAATAGGAACTAATTTAAATATAGAAATATAATTTAGAATAGGAACTAATTTAAATATAGAAATATAATTTTTTTATTTCTACATGAAATTAAGTAGTGAAGTTCAAACAGTGACGGTTTAATAAGGCAATCAAGAGATCATATTTATAAGAAATGTAAATTAAATTTCAAAGTCTTTGTTTCTCAGACATCTATGAATTGCAACTAATATGATGACATTAATATGTCTTCAGGCTGCAATGGACATTAAACAATTTTTTACCAATAAATTGTTAAAAAAAATTGGTAAGGAAACTAACTTGTGACCGTTTTAAATGTTTCGATAAATTGACCAATTTAAAGTTACCAGAATAAAATCAGTCATAATAACGGCGCACTTTAACATAACTACAACAACAAACAGATATGTGTAAAACCTGATTTACATTGACCAATTTTTGCCTCAAGAAATTTTCACTATTCACTATTTAGAATAAAAAATAGTCATGATAATTAAAACCAAATGACATAACTGTAACAGGATCATATTCTGGATATCAGAATGAATGGTAATAATTGTTGAAAATTGATTTCCATAAATAGAACATAAATACAATAAGAAATAAAAATAATTAATAGTATTTAAATTTATCCCTTTCGCTGCGCAATACGTCTGAACGTAGCTACCGCGCCGTGGGCGAAAGTTTATCACGTGCGAATATATACGTCTGGAGCAGTTAGACCACTTATAGTTTTACATTATGTTGTGTTAAATTACGATTTACGATAAATTTTACGATTTTATTTTGAATAAAATACAGTATATGTACTAAATAGAAACTGAAAGAAACATAAACAATCTTGGTATTATTACCAGTACCTCTTTCCATAAAAATATCTGTCACAATCGGTATAAGCTCGCCCGCAAAAATTCGCCTTACCAATTGCAATAACCAAGTCACTAATGCGCATGGTTGCGAATATATACGGTTTGAGCAGCCTGATCCAATTTAACTATTCATGCGAATTAATCCGTCTGGAGCAGTGAAAGGGTTAAAATAAAATTATGCATGTCCACGAAATATATTTTGTATTTAAAATTAGGTAATTAATGTTTTTCTAAATTAGTTATAAAATGTATTCTTTCACTTAAAGTATGTGGTTCACAATCATTTAGTTATGGAAAAATTAGCTTATGATATACTACAACTGCTCAAAATTTTGTCCATCCACTCAAACATATTTGGCCACATTTAATCTAGTTTTGATGAACCGAGACAAATGTTCCTTGCAGTACAGTAGCCATAATACATTCAGATAAATCATGAATAGTTTTCAAAAAATGTTGGGAGGGATTAAATCGGGAAACATGTTAACTGTCCTTGTCCAATTGGTGCTACCTCTTGAATTTTATCAAGGTAATTTCAAACATTTTGTCAAAAATGAGGGGGCGCACCGTTATACAAGAACGACATTTTATATTTACATTACAAGAAATCTGATACAATTATTTTGTGTATTCTTTGTGTGGAAACTGTAATGTGCTGTTCATTTCACATAATGTAGCGATATGTTCAGCCTTCATGCACACACTTGAAATGTTCTGTTAAAGGTGACAAACACAGTATTGTTTCATTTCTCGATGTATCAGTTTGCAGCTTAGACGTTTCCTTTCATGTCATATGTGTGTAAGTGGGAAAAACGCATCATTATTCATCTTCGATTATGTTTTAAAATATGAAATTGTGTGGAATTTGTTAATAATAAGGGAGCTGCAAACAAGTGAATTTACCAGATCAATGAAGTTGGATGATAAACAATATTTATCAGGAAATTCGAGGGCAAAACTTAGAGATATCAGAGAGTAATGTGTGGAAATATACAGTTTTTTAATAAAACTGTCATTCGGCAGGAAAAAAATTCAAATTGACAGTGACATTAAATATGCAGTCCATAAGGAGATTCATAGATTTTATTCTAAAAATTAACTTCCAACATGAGAGAAAATGGAAGCTCTAATTGCAGAAGATTTGTCCAGATTGTTTCAGAGTTTTACTGCATATTATGTATGGAATTAACTTTCCTTATCTAAAATGAAATGGAAAAAAGTTGTAAATAGAAAATAAATCGAAAATGAAAATTTATTATATCGGGGAAAGACGAGTATTATCTCCAAGGTTTGGCATAATTCGGCAGATATCAGCAGACGAGAAACATTTTCAGAAGGATTTTGTATGGGTTTAAAGGCTCTGTCTCGGAAAAGATGGTGATTAAAAAATCCACATACTGGAAGTGAATGCAGATTTTTAGATAATGCTTTACATGTGTTCGAGTCTCAACAAACAGGAAATTACCATGAAGATGGGATATTTGCACAATGATTTGAATCAATTCATTTGCACCTGGTGCAGTGATTGTCATGTAAAATGGTTAAAGCTCACGATGTTACACATATCTATTGCCATCATATCACTTTGAGGTGAATCCCATTGAAATAATCTGGGAGGATATAAAACTTATGTGCAGAGACGATTATTCAGGTAACTGTGGCGACATGGAATCAGTGCATTATGCATATACAAAATAAAGAAGAAACTAATGTGGGACCTTAATACAATGAATATACCAAGGTGTGTGTAGATTTGTAAGGATAATCTAGTTTTAACTAAAACCAAATATCTGTTTGTTCTATACCTGTCACTCAGATCCACATATTAAGAATGAGTCTGCTTACAATTTTGCCTATACTAGAGTATAAGACATTAAACTAGTTGAAGATTTGACGGAACTTTGTACTTTGATATTTTGTTTACAATAATTGTGACAATTTCATTTACTTTTCAGAACTTGCTGATAGTTATATAAAAATCTCAGGAAGTTTATTGCAATTGGCTAATAGTGATAATGGACATTTAGATAAATTTTTATCTAAAGTGGCAGACACATTTGAAAAAGCTCGAGTAAGTAAAGATACTTAATTGTTTTGATGATTTTAATCTTAGTTGTAATGAGGGGTACAAATGTACTCCACCATCAGAATTTTTGCTGTATTTTTCTGTAGTTTGCTATAATATATCTGAATAACTTTACTTATTAATAGTCAATTACTATCTACATAACACATTTTTCACACACCTAAAAATATCCAAAAAATATAGTTTTTGGACTTTCACTTCATAGTCATATTTTTAGATTTAAATGTTATAAATTGCCATGGACATATTATAATATTAATAACTAGAGATTAGTAATGGAAGAATGAAAGTACTACTAATAATAACAACAATAATGATAATAGTAATAATAATAGTAATTATTATATTATAAAAACGGTGAATTAATTTTGATGGATTTTTTGTAAATTTTTTTATTGCAAAAAATTACATACATTATTATTTTTCAAAGAAAAACTCATATTTTGACTCTACCCACCAATCGATCCAATTTTTTATATCTTCGTGAGATTGGAAGCACTGTTTAGCCAGGCTAAAGACTGGAACAAGTAGTAATCTGATGGAGCAATATTTGGTAAATATGGCGGGTGGAGTGACTTATCCAATTTCAGCGTTTCTAAGTATTTTTTGACTTTATGAGCAATATGCAGTCGAGCATTGTCATGTTGAAATTACTTTATCATGGCTTTGCACGCATTGTGGTCGTTTTTTCTTCAATGGACGCCTCAAATGCATCAATTATGTTCGGTAGTGTTAAACAATGATGATTTGATTCAACAGAACCAAGCCACACCAAATATAAAGCCTAAGCTTCGCATCGTGAATATTCGGCCTTGCCGTTGATGGTGATGCCACGATTTTCTACACTTAAGATTATCATAGTGTATCCATTTTTCTTCGTCAGTGATGATACGGTGCCAAAAAACCCTTTCTTTTTTGTCATTGAAGCAATTGTTCACACGTGAAAAGTCACTGTTAAACATCTCTCCGCTTCAATTCGTATGACGTCCAATTTACTTCCTTTTGGATCATACTGCGTGTATTTAAAAGTTTGGAAATTGTTGTGTGATCAACATTCAACGATTCAGCAAGTTCATCTTGTGTTTTGACATGAATCCTGGTTGAGTAATGCTTCTAATTCCTCATCTTCTAACTTTTTCGGTTGACCAGGGCGTTCTTTGTCAACTGTATCGAAATCACCACTTCTAAAATGTCGAAACCAATACTCACAAGTTTTTATCGATGTAGTATGGTGACCGTAAGTTTCCAGCAGCGCTCAATGACTTTCTGAATTTGTTGGCTCGTAATCGACATCTTCGGAGCTGAGAAAATATATGTTGTTTACACTTCAACAAAATGACACATAATAAAAGGTAAAACCTAAAGACAGAGAGAGCTTTGACGTGAATATAGTTACAGAAGTGTCTGATATGGTATAGCATAAGTTAAGCCATCTATTGGCATCAGACCTAGTATATTAGCAATTTAGTTCAGTTAAGAAAATCACTTATTACTTCCTTATTTAACTTTATTGGCCTTATATTAATTTTGTCCTATATAGAAAATTGAAAGCAGAGTTGCTAGTGATCAGGATTTAAAACTAGCGGATACTCTTCGCTACTATATGCGAGACAGTCAAGCGGCGAGAGCTTTACTCGTTAGACGTTTGAAATGTTTAGCAAACTACGAAAATGCCAACCGAGCCCTTGAGAAAGCCAGGCACAAAAACAAAGACATCCATGCGGTAAGGTGCTTTTTTTATTATTATTATTTTTCCTCAACAAATCAAGACAAACCTAAGTGACTCTTAACAAGTCAAAGTTGATTTTTGAAAATTTTTTGGCAAAAAAATAATTCCCTGTTTTAATTGTATAAAAACTGTAATTCACTCACTTTTTCTGTGTTGCCCACACTTATGATACACTTTTTTTTATGCTTCCACCAAAAAGGCACCTGAAGTTCAAGAGGTATTTATTAATATGCTAAATATGTATGGTAGATCTAGAAGTGTGCATGCGTATTTTAAAACCTTTTTATTACAGAAAATTTATTAGAATTTAAGATGTGCATTTAAAATTGAAAAATATTGAAATTTGAGTGTGTTAAATAATGATAAATCTAAAAGTTCAAGCAAAAATCAATGAAAGAAAAAATGTTTAGACAAAAATTATATTAGTGACAAAATGAATTATTCTTTAATAAAAGGGTTCACTATATTCTAGTACCGTTATTTTACCTTTAAATTTCACAGGCTGAAGCTGCCCAATCAGCTGCTTGTGAGCAGTTTGAGGCAATTTCAACACAGGCAAAAGAAGAATTATTAGATTTCAAAACAAGACGTCTGCATGCGTTTAGAAAAAGGTAATTTTTTTACTATTGATTACATAACATAAAATAGTTTTAAATTCCTATTTTTATGAAAATAGTTTCTACTTAAATAACAATTTATTTTCATTATGTGTTAAAATTAATTGCAGCCTATACAAGATGCGCCGGCCAATTTTTACATTTTTACGAGGTTCTTCATATTGTCTGAGGCCATTTTGATTCATTTAAGATATTCAAGGCGTTGTTCAATTTGGCCACTTTCATGATATTAAATAATTTTTTTATTTGTGAAACTTTACTTTTGATTTATAATGTGTATTTTTATACAGGGTGATTCAGAACTTATCCAAAAAAAGTTCTGTATGTACAGGGGACCCTTACAAATACAATTTTGTAAAGAAAAAATCAAAAAGGGCAGTTCAAAAATGATTTAAAAATACACTTCTGCACGGCATTGGAAACTGGTCCACTGTAAAACCTGACCTTGCACAATGCGACCGGCATGGCGGTGTGATAAAAACGGGCAAAAACTATTGCAAGGAAAGAAATAAATATAATTTTATAGCACCTATTTTATATTGGCAAATTCAACTGCTTTTGCCTTTATTAATTAACAAAATTAATTTGTTTTTAAATAATAAAATCATTTGACATACCCGATGTTACAACAATTGTTCAAAATTTTATCCACCAACGTGTGAACACATTTGGGTCCGTCTTACTCAGTTTCTACGAACTAACACAAATGTTGTCTTGTTTCACCATATCACAAATGCTTCACCATAAATTAAAACGATATCCATGAACTCCGAGATGCTATACACGCAAACCATTTTTGACACTAACTACTAAAAACACTATTGTAAACGCCACAGATAACAGGTAAACACTATCGCAACGACGATTGCAAAATAGGATTTCAGTATTCGAAGTTGCTAAGGCCACGTGGCCCTCCATGTGTATTGCGAATGACACTAGAGATTACAGTTGTCCAGTTATGTAGTGGTTGAATGTACTATAACTTCAATAATTTTTTTCTCAGAAACTAAGGATTTTACAAAATTTTTTTTTACGATATTGACTCCATTTCTCATGCCACATCTATTCCCAAATTTTTTTGGATAAGTTGTGAATCACCCTGTATAGTGGGGTATATCATTTTTTATTACAATATCCTGTTTTGCAGCATTAAAGCACAAGCTTACATTTTTAAATGGAAGTCTTCATAAAATTTCTTTACAAAAGCTATTTTATGATGATTACACAATTTTTTTTGAGATGGAAAAAAAAAATTACTTTTTGTAATTCAACTGTTTTATGATACAGTTAAGGGGACATATACAATTAGAAGGAGGAAAAGGAATCAATTTTGAGGAATTTTTTAAACTAAGAAATATTCTACATTCATCGGACTGGTAGGTGTTCTTCAATAGTATAAGAAAAACAATTTTTGAATTCATTCATCATCAAAATGACAGAGCTGTGGTAGAGAGTCACAGCAAGGTTACGGCGCAACTTCTAAAATGGTGTACAACCCAGCTCTCTCTGAAATTCGATCTGCAACAATATACAAAAATTTTATTTTTTATTTAAAACCTGTGGTTTCTGTGACGTTGAGAAAAATGGCAAAAATGCAATTTGAAAAAACACAAAAATCGAATTTTCAGAGTTTGTATAAAACAGTAGTTTTTTTCAAAATTTTCCAAAATCAATTTGCGTCATATAAAAGGTAATAATGTTATCAACATTTCTACCAAGGGGAAACTCAATCGGTTCAATGGTTTTTGCGTAATCGTGTATACCAGTTTCAGAAATATAGTTTCAGGAAAAAAGAATTTAAAGTTTCGACATGTGAAAAACCAGGGTAAAAACTGTAAACAAACTTGGGCTGCTATTTCCCGAAACTCGATGGAAAACAGTTAATTCTCATACTTAAACGAGTATACTTGCCCCTGTGCGCTCTTGCTTCTACCTGCGACATGCGTTCCGAACCCAAGCGGACATGTACAACGTTTACGGGCTGTAACTTCCGGAGTTTTTCGAATTTTGCTTTCAAACTTTCAGAATGTATTCTTCACATACAGCTCCATTGTTTATGAATCGATTTTCTGATCGTTGTAATTGTATATGTCCTCTCAAATGTACCATACATTTTATTTTATTTCATTGATATACGAGCTACATCTCGGGCACATATAATTATGAAATAATTGATTTACAACAAAAAACATATACAGGTTCGGAAAGTCCCCATGGTACATCGGCCGTTATGTGAGAGCGATAAAGTAAGTTATAGAAATCCGTGCGATAGACAAGGATAGTTACATTGAAGACGTTTCATAATATAAATAGTCACTCTCACTTCTAACCCGAAACGGGCGGTGACTATTCAGATTATGAAACGTCTTCACTATAGCCATCCTTGTCTATCGCACAGATTTCTTTACTTTACTTTGTCGCTCTCATGTAAAGGCAGATGGACCATGTGGATTTTCCAGCCCTGCATATGCGAGGGTTGTCTTTCATGTTTCGGGAATGGACGATCCTGGTGCTACCATCTGACAAACGACGTTCTTATCGTAAATTTTGACTTTCTGTCAATATTTTTACTGAGAACATTTTGGCACTGTACAGGCACGATATGTGTTGTTTACAGTGACTTGAAAAAATCATTTCGGACAAAAAACGAGATTACAACTTTCGATGTGGACATGGGCGTATCTAGGATTTTTGCTTGGGGCACACAAGCAGTTGGTATTACCGATATAAAATTTCAAAAACCAAAACATGTTTTGATTTGATTCTAAAAAGAAAATGTCATGTAGTCAGTGACTCAGATGATTATTGGATCTTTTTTTCTGGGGTGAGCATGGGGCTTTCTGGGGTAAGTTGTGCACACCGCTGCTCCTCCCCTACACCCATCAGTGTGGATTATCTCAAGAACATTGCATCGATCAACTTAAATCGAATTTTGGTGATGAAGCACCATCAAAAATCACTATATTGGTAGGTATACAGAATTCAATCATAGCCGTGGTTCGCTTACAGACATATTTTGTGAGGGTCATCCAATATCGGTTGTGGTTCCAGAAAACATTGATACTGTGCATGAAGTGATATTGCAAGATCATCATGTGACTTATCGTGAGATTGAGGCAGCCTTGGGCATTAGTGGGACCATCATACATTTGATATTGCATGAATGTTTGGTTGTCAAAAAGATTTGTTTGAGTTAGATGCCTCATAATTTGACAAGTGCTCAAAAAGGCTTGTGTCAATTAGTCAAAAGAAATGCACAAGAAATACGATCGCGGTGAACAGAGGACGAATCATGGATCTATGTCTATGAGCCTGAAAGTAAACAGCAGTAGACTGTATGGGTCTTTCAAGATGATCCAAATCCACAAAGCTCTTCTAAACAAAAAAAAAAATGGACATGTAACTACCATTAGTGCTGCAGGTGGTCAATTCTGAATGGTACACAATCATTTGTCTGTCAGAAGTCTTCGGAAAAATAAGGAAAACCAACCCTGGAAGACGCCTCATTCACCACCAGGACAATACGAGCACTCACACATCGACTTTTTCCTCGGAATGAAAAAAGTGCTTTGAAACTTGGTACAAGTATTGATTTTTATGGAGAATATTTTAACAATAAAGCAATATACGATGATTAATTTCTTTTTTGTTCTGTATTCCCGCAATATAAAATGTAACCCTCGCACAATTATATTTCCCAATAATAATTTTCAGGCTTCATCTCACCAAGTCTTACAATGATTCAAGGTGGCTCAAATCCACTTATAACTACTATCTATTTTCCTATTTACTACATAGCTATGAATATTACCGTTGGTTCCAACCCATTGACTAGAAAACTTTTTTTTGGTTTCAGTTTAATAGAGTTGGCCGAACTGGAAATAAAGCATGCTTTCTCTCAACAAGATCTGCTAAGAAAATCAATACAAAGTTTGAAAGAGTTACTTTAATTTCAGTGATATATTTGAAATGTTTATATTTTTTTAATTTACTATGTATTTTCATACATTCCTCTATCAATTTTTATATCAAGGAATGTGTTATCTTTACCAGTCTAAAAAAAATGTATTGTTTTGGTTACTTCATATATTATATTGCAAATATATATATGAGATATTATGTATCGTATATTGTATGTTGTTTATATTTGATTAAAAAAATTGAAATTTTTCTAAATGATTGTTTTGTTTACTTGCACCTCAAATATATGCACAATTACTTATTATATAAATTTTAGGACTTAGGTATATTAAACCTTTAGAGGGCCAGAATTTTTCCTTTGAAATTGGTTTTTTTTTTAGAGGTGTGGTATATCACATCTGGTGGTGTTTCCGAGTTCCCTTCTGACTCCAAAAGCAGTCAGGCTGGCCCAGCACGGTACAGCCATTATTGAAAATACTCAAAATTCAGATATTTGTGTTCATATAAATAATCACGATTTTGATATCGGATTACCACCAATTTGTCAAAAAGACCTTTTTTGAGATATAAAATTTGACACCACGATTTTGGACAATGTGCGTATCTCTAATTTTTTTTGGCACACCCACCGAATATGATGGAAAATGTTTATGGAGTGAATGAGGGTGAAAAAGAATAAAATGAGAAACTACTAGAAATTCTGAAAAGAAAAGGGTATATCCTCTAATAAAACAGAGTTGTGATTTACATTTACGTTTTCCAGAAAAAATAAAGATGTTGAAAATAAAAATGAAAAAATGCTATTCTCATTTTTTTACTCAAAAAGTATGATTTCTAACGAAAAAATGTAGGTACCTACCTAAATATGAATTATTTTTCCCCTTCAGTTTATTCCTCGCCCCTAGAATTTGCCATCCCGAATCCCTTGTCCTACTGGAACATTTTATTCTGTGTATCTCGATAAACATTTTTCACAATGTCTCATGAGTTAACGGAAAAAATTTTTCCAGGAAAAGGAAACACTATTTTTATACATATCTATACAGGTTGTCCCACCACGAGCTCCATCGATGGATATCTGGGAAACCGTATGAAGGATTTTTTTGAAATTGTGATGGTGTGATATGGACCGTGGGGCCTACCAAGCTAAAATATTTTCAAGGTCATCGTACTTCCAGTTATACCGGAAGTCAATACTAACTTTCTTATTTTAAATGAAACCCCCTGTATATTATTGCATTTTTGGAAAGAGAGAGAGAGAATTTTGAAGTTGAAAACATATAGCATACTCCATACTTAGGACTGACCGTTTCCGAGATATTTTGATTTTTAAGCAAAAATTGACAGATTCAGACTGTCAGCAAAGTTTAGTTTTCCCGGAAACATAGGTTTATTTTTTTGTGCAAATTGGATATTTTGTAATCTATTGAATTTGACATGAAAATTTTCCAGTTTTTATACAGGGTGGTCAAAAAAAAATTATCGAATATGAAGTTCAGAAAATGTAGAAAACTCGAAATTTTTATATGGAAACCCCTAATTTTTTTAACTGAACTAAAATTAAGTGTAACTTTGTTAAAGTTACCCTATACCTAAACCCAGTGGTTTTCATTTTATATACGAATAAACATTTCCCTTCTCTTAAAATGATGTTTCCATCTGTTTCACACATTTTGGGTTGGCCGTGACTACAGCACTACATATAACTACGACAAGTTAGTAACAATCAACATGACAACTGTCACAGGTTTTTAATTGTCAAATTTATCTGCTCTAATAGAATCCGGTGATATATGCTATTTTATTTGGGAAAAATATTAAATATATGGCGCCGACTTTAAATTATTAACTACTTGTGTTTGTTAGGTATTCTGTGCTTAGGAACCTACTATGAGTTGGTTGGATATACCTAATATTTTTTGTTTATTTATCATTATATTTTATAAGCTCAATATTTTTTATATGGTGAATGACTACTTTCAACTGCTAGATATTACTTTTTATAACAAACTTGGACGTTTTTTGGGTTTTTAAATGTTCAGTACTATGTGTAACTTTAATTTTTAATAACTGGGTACTATTCATGAAAATTGACTATTAAAAAAATCGCCTCGATCTTTAACTGGAAAACGTTGGACAAACAGAAAAATGGAAATTGTGAAAAGCAATCTAGAAATAAATTCATTAGAGATCAAAAGTTTTTAAAAGCGTGTGACAGGAAATATATATTAGACCAAGCAAATTAAATTTTTACTCGAAAAAAGTCCTATCCACGAGATTATTGTAAAATTGTCTAAAGGAACATAATACTAGACATCTCTCATCTCGTGAGTCAAAAACTTTTATTAGCAAACTTTTCTATTTAAACAAATAAGTGAGGAAAACAGTTTTTTCACTTTGCAGGGAAAACCATCAATTTTAGCGACTAGTGATTCTTAGACAGCTTATAGGGAGTAAAATTATCTACAAAATGAGACTTGTTAAATTAAAATCGTTTAATAAACAAATAAGTTATTGCAAAAAACAAGAAAAGTGCCCATTTTTAAATTTGTTTATAACTATCGCATTTATTCTTAAAATTTTATAAAACCTATGACAAGTTGAGGGTTTTGTCAGACTTCAAAAGTGTGCCAAAAGTGGGCGTTGTAGGTGCAATAGTTTTCGCACAATTCTATTTGTTTATTATAACGGATGCTCCAAAAGTTATGAACTTTAAGCCTCTGTACAGGCGTTAATTTTCAACCAAACATGATTCTGAAAGCGTCATTGTAATCTTAAAGACGTAATTAAGCGACGTATTAAAAAATATCACCGTTTTTTGACATTAAAATTCTCAAATTGTGTTTTAAAAAAACGTGCGTTTTTCGCTTATAAACAATTTGAATAACATTGTTACTATTTATGCTATCTCACCGAAAATAGACGCAATGGATAGTTGGCAAAAAAATACATTTTAAAATAAAAAAGTACCCTCTACGACCAACAGGAGCCAAGATAAGAATTTTTTTTTAAATCGTAGTGCATTTGTTTATAAGTATTTAGACTTGAATTTTTCGCAAAATAAAGTTTACGACGTAAACTACGATTTCCCGTGAATTGCATTGAAAAATGTGGAAAATTAACGACTCACGAGCCCTTTAAAGAGCAGGTACTCGCTAAGTAAACTGTTCGGCGGCCGGCGGCGTGGTGGTGGGGGAAGCTTGTCCAAGCGGCCGCGCGCGCGAGAAAAAAAATCATAAAAATAGAAAAAATTATAAATTTTAAATTGTTGTTTTATATTGCATTATACCTATTATTGAAATAGGTTGTGATTAATATTTTTTTAATTAATTTTGATTTTGTTGCAAAAATGTTTTTTTCTACAAAACTGTTAAAAGTGTGCTTACTTTTAACACACGTGTCAAAAAATGACATTTTTAACATCAAAAATGACAATTAAAAAGCCCACTTTTAACAGTTTTGTAGAAAAAATAGTGTATGATATACGTGTTAAAAGTGATTTTATTTTGTTCGTGAAGTTAAAAAACTCGCTACGCTCGTTTTTTAATCATCTTCACTCACAAAATAAAATCTTACTTTTAACACGTATATCATAAATAGCTATTGTATAAAATTAGTAGATAATAAATATAATAAAAAAACTTAAAATTTCAAGACGTTAAAATTGTATTTTTATTTTTATTAATATTTTTTAATTTTGAGAATTTTGCAATAAATTCAAATGCTTTTTATTCTTTTTTAAATCTTTTAACAATAAATAATAATTTGAAAATAATTTGTGAATTTTTACTTTAATTTTACATTTAAATCGTAATTAAATAGTTATGAAAATATTGAAAAAACAAGTTTACTTTGCCTTAATATGTAAAAAAATTACTTTAAATGAACGATAGCTTCATTGAAATTTTAATTAATATTTCGTTTAACAATAAATTTTGTGACATTTTTGTAAATTAAAAGAAATTAAGTATAAAAGATACATTTTTTCTGGGGTTCAGGGCTATTCTACGAAATCGTAAATATGCCCATTGTTATTTTTTCGTCGAGCTACCCCAGTTTAAAAAAAAATAAGTTTCTACGATGAATAGAAGCCGAGATATTGTAAAATTTACAGCGCGCATCAATTTGAACTTTCGAATTAACTTTTCTGGCGCGCGCGACTCGCTTGGACGAGCTTTCCCCACCACTACGCCGCCGGCCGCCGGACAATTTACTTAGCGAGTACATTCTCGTGAGTCGTTAATTTTCCACATTTTTCAATGCAATTCATGGGAAATCGTAGTTTACGTCGTAAACTTTATTTTGCAAAAATTTCAAGTCTTAATATTTATAATCAATTGGGCTACGATTAAAAAAAAAATTCTTATCTTTGCCCCTGTCGGTCGTAGAGGGTACTTTTTTTATTTTAAAACTGTATTTTTTTGCCAGCTATCCATTGCATCTATTTTCGGTGAGTTAGCATAAATAGCAACAATGTTATTCAAATTATTTATAAGTGAAAAACGCACGGTTTTTTAATACAACATTTTAAGAATGTTAATGTCAAAAAACGGTAATATTTTTTAATAGGTCGCATAATTACGTCTTTAAGATTACAATGACGCTTTGAGAATCATGTTTGATTGAAAATTAACGCCTGTACAGAGGCTTAAAGTTCATAACTTTTGGAGCCTCCGTTATAAACAAATAGAATTGTGCGAAAACTATTGCTCTTACAGCGCCCACTTTTGGCACACTTTTGAAACATGACAAAACCCTCAACTTGTCATAGGTTTTATAAAATTTTAACAATAAATGCGATAGTTATAAACAAATTTTTTTTTTGCAATAACTTTTTTGTTTATTAACCGATTTTAATTTAACAAGTCTCATATTGTAGGTAATTTTACTCCCTATAAGCTGTCTGAGAGTCACTTTTAGCTAAAATTGATGGTTTTCCCTGTAAAGTGAAAAAACTGTTTTCCTCACTTATTTGTTTAAATAGCTAATAAAAGTTTTTGACTCACGAGATGAGAGATGTCTTGTGTTATGTTCCTTTAGACAATTTTACAATAATCTCGCGGATAGGACTTTTTTCGAGTTTCTCTTTTATTTTCGCTAATTTTTCTGGTGTATATGAATTTAGGACAGAACGGAGAAACTACTCAATTAATCATAAAAAAAGAAAGGTTTTTTTCGTTTCCGTTTCCCATGCT